CGATCACTGCAGGATCCAGACTGAGGGATCAGGCTCTATCTGTAACATTGCTGGTCCCTTAGAATGTTTTCCTTTTCCAGATATATATTCACATTGTACATAAATAAATAGACTATATCACTTCTTACTTTCCAATTTTCTGCTTCTAAATGCTTACTCTCACCTATTTGCATTGGTGTTTTATGTATTTTGAAAATATATTATTAGATGAATAATGGAACATATAGTTTTAATTAATTTATTATCATTAAGGAATTGACCCTAGGACAGACAACTGGTTAACAAATTGATAGCTGAGTTTGGACATGTGAGCAGGCCACTACTTTTTTAAATAATAATGACCCCAAAATTTAGTAATTTAAAACAATAGTCATTTATTTAGCTCATTACTCTGTAGGTCAGCAATTTGAGTTGAGTTTACCTGGGTGGCTCATCTGTCTTCAGCTGGGCTTGCTTCTTTTAACCGCCCAAGATAAGAGATGAGCTAAAGAAAGAACAATGTTATTTGCAGAAGTTAGAATATAAAGACACAAGAACTATTTCTCTCACCTTCAGTCCCCTCAGCAAGAAAAGATCAAAGCACAGAAAACTGGAGCCTCTTAGAAGAGGTCACCAGGAAAGTCAGAGAGGGAAACAGATACTGAATTCAGATGCCCCAGTCTTGCTATTTCCCATAACAACGTAATCCCAGCTGTACTAAAATAATATTCCTATGCAATTATTCAAAAGTTAAAAGAATAGCTCTACACTATGAGATCAAAATAGGGCAGGAATTAAACAAAGGAGTAAACCTGAATAGCACCTAGTCAGCATCAGGTTCATCCACTTAAACAAACTCCAGAAAGATCTCTGTATGTACAGTAGAACCTCTGTAAGCTGACCACCCAAGGGACTGTAACAAACTGGTCAACATACAGAGGTGGTCAACATAAGGAACAAAGCCTACTGTACTGATATGTGCATTTGGTGCAAGTCCAGCCTATGAAAATTAGGTCAACTTAAGGAGGTGGTCAATGTAGGGAGGTGGTCAACTACGGAGGTTCTACTGTATTTATACACTGTCATACACAGCTGGGAACCAAGTTCTGAGTCTACCAATCTTAAACACTCCAATTTCCTAGGATCAATGAAATCCAGTATATGTTTGAACGTGCAAAGCAGACAATTCATATAATGATTAAAACCTTTAAACTGTGCAGAGTGAACCAAGCAGATGCCAAATCAGTTCCAAAACACATTTTAATTCTAATGGCAAACTACCAATTGATTCATTGTGCGCGTCTTGTGTCACTTGACCTTTCTGGATCTTAATTCCTTCATCAGAAATATTAATAACCCCAAAGCAGTGCAAGGTAGTAATCAAGATAACATATCCATGAAAGAATTTAAAAACACATGAACCTTTTCCACTTGACTGATGTGGGCAGATGCCCTGGTGTCTGAAATAAGTACAGAACAAAAATAAACGAGGAACCTACACAGCAAAGAGTCTTTCTAAAGCAAGAGCTATAGAAGGAAACACTCTTTGAAATAGCAGACAGTTTAAAAATCAGCACTAAAAGGAGATATGTCAAGCCCTGTGTTGGGCCAGGGATTCTAAAGAAGAGGCTCATGGCCTAATAGGAAATTTATGGGCAAATGGTACAAATATGATGGGGAAAGGGCAAAAGGAGAAGGGTGTACAAGTAGCCTGTAAGAGGTAATGACTAATTCTTTCCTGAAAGAGGATAATTGAAGATATTTTCAGAGAGGTGATGAGAGTTGAGCTGGGTTTTGACACAGATAATAGACATGGTACCTAGTAAATACCTATTAAGTACTTTTTAAATAAATGAAAGGCATTTCTGATGGAAGTATCACCAAGGGCAACAGCATGTGTGGATGGAATCAGGCATTTCCAGGAAATTCTATTGGCTGAGTGAAAAGTTGGAGGGATAGAACAACAGCCACCAGTAGTGAGGCTAGGGATGGATGCAGAAACCAGATCTCTGGGGCCTTGCATGACACACAAATGCTCCTGAGTACAGTAGGTCCTGTTAGATTTGGGAAGCTAGGGAAATTTGAAAACAGAATGCATAAGAGCATTCCAGCTAGAGGAACAATGACAGACATGATGTGAGCCACTCAGATCCTGCCTGAAGGAAGGACTTGTTACCCCCATCAGCTAGGAGTGCTGTTGGCAGAAAGCCTTCAGCTGGGCCCCTCTGGGGTCTGCCACAACTCAGAGCTGCCTTGTCTGTGGGCATGCCCTCCTGTGCAGCACACACTCAAAGCCCGATGGAGGCAGTGAGTATAGGCCCAGCCATGTCAGCCCACCCTGGGCAACTCTGCCAAGCCCTTTTAGCTCCCGAGCCCCCTGTGGAGTTAGCTGAGTCTGTCATTAGGAATGACTTGCCCTGAAGTTCATCTTCTCTTTCAGCCCATTCCTACTTCTAATAGGCCAGAGCCACAGGGGAAAGGTGGGGGCAAAGGGAAACTGAGGCAGAGGTCAAGCCTATCCTCCCACCCCTGTGGCTCTGTCCTTCAGAATTCTCTGGTGGCAGCTAATAGTTTGTAAGAAATGCAGTATGGCAAAGGAGCCCTGGTCTCAGCCTCCAAATGAATTTAAGGCCCATTTCTATTCAGTGTCTGGGACAAGACACATTAATTCTCTAAGACAGCTTCCTCAACCCCACTAACATTCGAGATTTGGTGGTGGAAGTGAGCAAACACATGAAATAACATGGGAAAGTGCTTTGTAAACCGTGTATACAAGAGTGGGTATGAATATTAAACCAAAGGCGATTGTTTCTGCCCCTTGACTATACTGTCTGAGTATATATACTGAGATTTCTCAGATAAGGTTTTTTGCTGGAAGTCAGGGGAAAGCCATGGAATGGTTATACTGCCACCTAGTCAACACAGGAAGAACAGCAGTTGGACCTCCCGGATGTTCCCAGGATGAGACAACCAACACACTTAAGTGGTCCTCCTTTTACTGAATCTTTGCCTTGGAGTTCCCAACTCCTAGACACAGGAAGAGAAAGGCAAGAGTAGGAAGTGGAAAATATCACAACCCAAATCAAATACCATCCTCAGGATAGATGAGTTTGGCCCCTTTATGCCCAGGCAGCTGGGATTATACCTAAAATAAATACATACAGAACTCTACAAAGAGCAGCTCTGCCAAGCTAGGTGGAACATCTTCCAGGTTATTCACCTCAAAAATCAGTTAAATGTAGTGTGTTAGGGAAGGAAAAAAAAAGATAATCTATCCAAGCATTAGAGGAAAACGTGAACTATACCAAAATGGATATCTTTGGTTGAAAAGATTTATAGGTGATCTTTATTTCTTTAATGTGCATTTCTGTGTCTTAGAGATTTGCTACCATGAACACATTGTCATCCTTTTATGATCACACAAAAGTAATTTTTGTAAAAATAGAATAAAAATTTTAACTTTTCTTTGAACATTTTGTATAAAGCTGGTTCTATCCCACCTGCTATGTCATCAGACTGTGTGGTAGATTATAGAAATCAGTTACTGAACCAGAAACTTGCCAGAGCATTCTCTCTCTCTCTTCCTTCCCCCTCCCAACTCCTCTTTCTTTCTCTTTCTCTCCCCAGCCCAAAGAGCATGTGTGTACTGCGGAAAGATCACATGCACAGAGAAAAAGCTGGTTATCTACAAGGCAGGAAGAGAGTCCCCAGCACTTTGATCTTGAACTTCTAGTATCTAGAACTGTGAGGAATAAATTTCTGTTAATCCACGTAGTCTGTGGTATTTTGTTATGGCAGCCCTGACAAACTCATATGTGATCTCACAGAAGTACCAAGTGAGGAATCTTCAACACCACACAGTTCCTAACTCTGCCTGGAAGTAGGCCCAAGGTCGCGGGCCTAAAGGATCAAGCCATGTTGGCTCGGCACCTGCAGCTCAGCAACTAGGACGCCAGCCACATAAACCCTAGCTGGCGGGTTCGAATTCAGCCTGGGTCTGCCAAATAACAATGATAACTACAACCAAAAAATAAAAATAGCCAGGTGTTGTGGCTATTTTTAATTTTTGCTTATAGTCGTCATTGTTGTTTGGCACCTGTAGTCCCAGCTACTTCGGAGGCTGAGGCGAGAGAATTGCTTTAGCCCAAAGTTTGAGGTTGCTGTGAGCTATGATGCCATAGCACTCTACCAAGGGTGATAAAGTGAGACTCTGTCTCACAAAAAAAAGGATCAAGCCATGACACAGAGGAAAAACCTTTAAAAAGCCATAATGATACTCAATATCTATATCACATAATGTTTCATCCATGGCAAATCTAAACCTTTCGCTTCCTCTTTGCACTGACAGTGTTGGCCTGAATTGTTGAGTTACCATTTGGGGGAGGAAAGAAGTCACTATCATTGATGCCAAAGGATTGGACCCATGAAAAAGTCACTTTTATCCGTCATCAACTGCAATGTCACAAAATACAGCACAGACTGCAATGAGCAGGAATCACACAGTCTCAAACCAAATGATTTAATAAAGAATGCCTTTATTTCTTTATCTACATTAATAAGGATGAAGTTCACATTAGATGTCCCTTTTCCTGGGCCCTCTCTTTGACTTATATTTGCCCTATTCTCTGGTGGAAAAAGCAAACCAAGTTTAAATTCATTTCTGAATTCAGTTTTTCTCACTAATCACGTTGATCTTTCTTTTGTTATGTAGCACCCCAAAATGTTAAAGTAATATTATAGGTCAAGTTCAAGTTTCCTTTTCATTCAGTTCTAATTCATTTAAATAAATTCTAGAAAGTTGCTATTACTTTGCTTAATCTATTAGAATTTAGTCCTTCTCGAGCCATGAGTCACCCACACCCAAGCCCTCCTTGGCCAGAAAAAAAATTTAGGGGTTAAGAATCTGACTTCCCAGATTGTGGAGTGAGCTTTGCCACTTATGAGCTTGTGGCCCCTCCTCTGCAAGGGCAGTCTCAGTTTGATCGGGTGTTATAAGAGAAGTCACTGTCACGAGGCTCTGCCTAACTCTGCAGGGCTATTGGGACACACTGAGCCTCACATTCTTCCCTGGTTTCAAACCGGTTGGCATTGCCTCCACAGCCACCGTACCAGAACTGCTGGCAAGCTTGGTTTTCCTTGTTGTGGTACCACTTCAGGGTATAATCCTGGCACTCGCCTTCCATTGGATCCATGGGACAAGGGCCTGCAAAAAAATAAACACAGAGAGAGCTGGCTTTCCTGTCGAACATGACAGGAAAAGAACATGGTTTGGAGTCCCAGACCTGAGAGAGAATCTCAGCCTCACCACCAACTAGCTGTGTGACTTTGGGCAAGTAGCTTACCTCTCTGAGACTCAATTTTCTCAACCATAAAAACAATATTAAAAAAATATACCCTAAATCTCAAATGTGCTGTATGATGTCACAGAGCATATGTGAAAGGTACAATATAGTTAAAGCTATTATTTGTAAAGTACCTTGCTTATGGCAAATATACCCATGGTACATGTATAAATAAGTGAGTGAATGAATAAAGCTTTCTAATACTGAGCACTCCCCACTTGCCTATTATACTTCTTTTCCTCTTTTTTCAAATTATCTCAATCCCTAACATAACCCCAAGCCTGTCCAGTCTTCTAACGACCTAAGCAAATCCAGCTTCTTTATTACATTCTTTATAGTATTCCTGATTCCTGCCCAAGAAATTAAGACAGCTATTAAGAGAAACATATGCTATCCCTGAAAAACAAAAAAATAGCATTGGGAATCAACAAGTTACAACAAAGTAACATCTGAGAGTCCCTGAATTTTAAAATTACGCATTTATTTTCCCAGCTGTCTAATCCCTGCCTTCTAAAGAAAACAGATTTCTGTGGGCACATTTTGCATCACATAGAAGTATTCTTGTCCCAGGTCAGCCCTGAAACACAGAATGCTAACATCTTCCAAATATTCCCTCCTGGGTCTTCTAAGCATCCCTAAATAAAGAAAATCCTGTCTTCAGAAAACAAGAGTCAAAATTCATGGTCTGTTCCTAGGAAGCTACCTACTAACCTCCCAATAGAATAATCACTTTTTCGGGAGATGTGGCCTGATGTACTGGACTCACAGAGAAGAGGTGCACTCTTAGTGGGTACAGAATTGATCATGGAAATTGTCCTATGCCTTGAGAAGGCATATTTGAATTTGCCCACTATGTGACCCCTTACTCTGGAAGTATAAGAAAACCAGCCCAGGAAAAGAAAGAGCAAAACATGTCTTCAAAAACTTGTCAGAGTCAAGAGAAAAACATTCCAATAGTGAACTTCAGGCTGTACTCTCTAGATCCAACACGTAGACTCAGAGCTCAGCAATCATCAGGCACCAACCTCTGCCATTACCAAATGATTCTGATCTTATAAACCAACAATTTGTTTATTAAACATATCAGTCACTTTTCCTGGTGACACATTGTGGTCTCTGGAACCTCCACTCTTGCTTTGTGTCTAAAAGACAACCACTCAATCAGGGGCTGCTCTTCCTAGATTTGACTTCTACAACATTGATGGAATTGTTGGAAATGATGGAAAAATCTGTGCTCTTCAACACAGTAGCCACTAGCCCATGTGGTGGCTGTTAAGCATTTGAAATGGGGCTGATGCAATTAAGGAACTGAAATTTTGATTTTATTTAATTTCAAATTACTGTATTTACATTTAAATGTAAATAGCCAATGTGGCTAGTGGTTACCATATTGGTTAGTATAGCCCTAGGTGAGTAAGACCTTAATGCATTAAAATAATTACCTCTAAGTTATTCTTTGCAGCTTACCACTCAGTATACTTCATAGTCTTAATTTTTCTTTTAGCATCATGATATAGCCATGATTGAGGGTCAATAAGTTTTTACCAAGCAATTAATGCTAGCCCCCAATTTTATATATGGCATTATTTTTACCATGAATATTAACCTTTGCCTTCTCAGAAGAATCACATAGTGGCAGGCGCAATTTTACTCAAACAAGTTCATAAAATCCAGGAGTGAAGCAAAAGTTGGGGGGAAAGAAAAGTTAGGTCCAAAGAGCAGCTACAATAACATTAGAATTTTTCCTAGGCTTGCTTTATCTCCCGGTATATATGTCTTATAATATAACGCTGCTTAGAAGGAGAACCCAAAACATAGGTCTGTGTGCTTTGGAGATGATGGTGAAATTGAAAATATACCAAGTCTAGCCTGGCTTCTGTGAAGAGAGATAACACGCATTCAATTCTTCACTACAAGCACAATAAAAGGTAGCGGTACTACGGCAGAATTTGACATAAGATACAGGAGCACAAAGAAGGCCATGAACATTTATTACTACTGAGGAGCACAGAAGGGACTCTAAAGGGGAAGGGGGGGAATGAGCTGAGCAGTGTGGGAAAGGAATTCTCATAACCCTAATAGGAGTGCAGCCGTTTTAGAAAATCAGGTCAGAAACCAGCAATCCCCTCCCCAGATTCCTGGAGTGCCTCAAGACCAGAGTTCCGGGAAATACCCCACCATAATCCTGACCCTAAGAATACATCCATAATCCCAAATCGCACACTAGAGAAGAACCCCAGGCAGTACTCCAGGTTCCATCCCCTTTTCAGCTATAGTGATGAGGCTAATAAAAGCCCTTTGTACCTGAGTGGGAGTTGAGCTGACCCTGTCAGTCTTCATTCTCCCCTCCCTCCCCCAATTAAAGTCTTTCTTTGTCCCTGGACTGGCCTCTTCTCCTTTCTTGCAGATCCTCATCCTGGTTCTATGCCAGAACCTCCCAAGCAATGAAAGATGAGTAGCTATAGTCCAAGTGGACACTGTGGAGAGGACACAGAAAGGCAGATGAGAGTGAGGAATATATGGAGACACAGAACAAACAGCAGGGCCAGGGGTAACTGTGAACAGCAGAAAAGGTTATGCAGGACAGAAGCAGCCAGGAAGGCCCCAGAGGACCAAAGCAGACCTCTAATCGCAGAGGCCTGTGTGTCTTACACAGGCACAGAAACACAGTGTGACAAATGATGGGCAACCATAGAAAAAGAGAAATGATACAACCACATTTTTCATTTTAGAACATTAATTAGGTGTTCAAAATGGAATTAGAGGTAAGGGAGAGGAAGACAATTAGAGTGATGTTGGCTTTTGGCTTTCCATTCCTGGGCCAGTGGTGGTTCAGTATAACAAAGACAGGTGGTAAAGTAGGAGAAGACTTGGGCAAAAAACACAATGAGTTGAGTTTGTTAAATTGAGTTTGTTTTGTAAGACTACATGCAAGTCCAACAGGGCGATCTAGATGGTAGAAGATAAACTGGCCTGCAGCAGGGGAGAGAATTCCAGGTGGAAGACACGTGTTTGAGAGTCATCAGAACAGAGGGAATAGTTTGATGTGGCAGAAATGCTTGCTGAACTAGCGTGCATAAAGTGTTCCCAGGACTGAAGAAAGGACTCAGGGGAAGGGAGTGGCAGATATATCACGAAATCCATGAAGCCTAGGCTTCTAAGCCACTAATGTGCACAAGACTCTTCTAAATAAATATTCACTTTTTACTTAATTCTAATAATTTGGTAATATTTTTCTGGGTGAGAACTCCCCCCAATTGGATAAGCTCCCTAAAATCTGAATGCTCCTGTGAGGATAGACCTGAAGAAAAGCCCACAGATATGGACTGGTCAGCAGTAGAACAAGAGGAGAATGTTGTCTCCAAAGCCAGGAGATTTGAAGAGGAAGGTGATGGTCACCTTGATTTTGTGGGAAAGATGCCTTACAGCAGCAATTCTTATTTTAGGTTGTTTAGTGGAATCAATGGGTAAGTCCTGCACCCAGAGATTCTGATTGAATTGAGCTGTAGGGAATTTTTACAGACTCCCAGATGATTCTATTGTACAGGCAAGACTGAAAAATCGCTACCTCAGTGAGATCACCTTCGACATAGTAATCACCAAGGTAAATTCTTCCATGCTTAATGTTTAGCCTAAAAAAGGGGAAACACTGTCCCTGCCGGGAGCAGCTATTCCTATATTGTCCAGTTTTATTTCTTTTGGATAGGTGTTTGTTTTGGAATCTAAAAGGGAGCACATATCATCAGTTCTTAACAGCTAACTTGTTTGGGATGCTTACGGTGTGGCTAACACGTGAATTATCAAGTTTTATTCCCAAAACAACTCTAGGGGGTAGGTACTCACATAATTTTACCCCACTTTACAGGAAATTACGCCACAGAGAGAATAAATAACTCCCAGGACCACCTAGCTAGTGGCCCCAGATAATGATCTAGGCACATTCAAAATCTCTGAGAGATATGCCTCATTTACTCTAACCAGGACTAACCACACCCCTCACTAGAAACTCTTTCAGCTACGATGGATCAAGTTCAAAAACTTCACAGTCAACTTTCCCAGATCTCTTTCTATTCTTTTTTTTTTTTTTTTTGAGACAGAGTCTCACTATGTCACCCTCAGTAGAGTGCTGTGGCATCACAGCTCACAGCAACCTCAAGCTCTTGGGCTTAAGCAATTCTCTTGCCTCAACCTCCCAAGTAGCTGGGACTACAGGCATCCACCATAATGCCTGGCTATTTGTTGTTGTTGTTGTTGTTGTAGTTGTAGTTGTCATTGTTGTTTAACAGGCCTAGGCCAGGTTCAATCCTGCCAGTCCCCAGCAGGTATGGCATGTGGCCGTCGCCCTAACCACTAAGCTATAGGCACCAAGCCCCCATATCTCTTTCCTATATGTTTAGTGTTCTGCTTAATTTGCCTATCACATATAAGAAGCAACTTGTCATTTGCATTACTACACATGACATGGATGCTACAGTACCCAAAATTCCTTAAGCTTGTTCAGAATGCATTTGGCCATCTTAGGTTAAAGTTAGCCTTCATCTGTTTCCTTAAACTACAGTAGAACCTCCAAGGTTGACCACCTCCCTAAATTGACTACCTCCTTAAGTTGACCTAACTTTCAAAGACCAGACATGCACCACTTATACATGTCAGTATGGTAGGCCTAGTTTCTTATGTTGCCTGCTCCACACGTTAACCAGTTTGTTACAGTCCCTTAGATGGTCAGTTTACAGGTTCCACTATTCCTTTCCATACAAGAATTTGTGGATTTGTAAGAAAGGTATAGAAAAAACAAAAATACGCATGCTAACACATTGTATAGGAGATGTTTTTTAAAGATAAAGATGAAAAAAGTGAGTCTAACTTAAGAAGCAGGAGTTTGGTTTTGACCATAGGTAGTACCTGAATTTATTTCTTTCCTAGTTTCTTTCTGGTTCAATGGTGTTTCTTGTTCATTTTTTTCAGCATCATATTTGTTATTTTCATAAGTTTCAAGTGCTTCTTGCTGAGTTACAGACGTTGTCATGCCTTTTCTCTTCTCTTCTAGAAAAATGTTTGTTGCTTTAAGTGCTTCCAAATCACCAGCAAACCCAGACATGCCAAACTGGTGGTTGGTTAACCTGTATAGAAACAAGTCAGGTCAAACTGCATGGTCAAACTTTAAGAACTGCGTGGTCCAGCTCCTAATTGATACTACTGTGATTTATAATCTTTATATTAGGGCATTTCTTAATGACTTCATTATTGCAGTAACTATTTCTTGAGACATGTTTATCAAAATGTCAGAATGACATGTCTAACATTATCAATTTTACCTCTGGAACATGGGATTAGAGGATGGGGTGATATAGTAGAATGGAAATATTTCATTTTTTTGCTTTTATATACTCATGTCTTTATGTACTATTTGAACTTGTTACATTAATTCTGTATTACTTTCAGTGTTAAAAAAAAAAAAAAGAAAGAAAAAAACCCAAATGTACACATATCAGAATTGTCAAACCCAGAAGCACCCCCATCATAGTTTGGGTCAAGTCATACACTGTCATTGTCTGTGACATTCTTTAGGGTGACAGTGTCCTGCATGGGGGTAGAGCTGTGGGTCAGTCAGAGCCTACCTTTTGACAGGCATGATTGATTGCAGCAGAGTGTCCCCACGGGTTAGACCCTGACATTCTTCAATGAGCTCTGGAGGTGGATACTGGTTTGTTCCACCTAAAAGAGAAAAAAAATCAAACCAAGTCAAATGTAAAATAATATAAAATTTTAAAGCATAAAATTAAATAAGATGAAAATAAAATATTATCCATTGAGACATAAAATTCAAAAGACATAAAATCAAAGTGTGAAATATAAAACAAAATAAAAACATATAACAATATAAAACTAAAAGTAAATAGAACAATAAGAACAAAAATATCCATGAAGACAAAAAATCAAAAAGGTACAAAATGTATTCAAATAAAGCATAAAATAAAAATTAAAATGTAAACACATACATAAAACAAAATAAAAGCAAAATAAAAAATGTATCCTATCATGTAAACATAAAATAAAATCACAACATAAAAGAATACAAAATACAACCTAACATAAAAAACATAAAGTAAAACTAAGTTAAAACAGGTTAGAAAAGTGATTCTTTCAGCCAGCTTGCTTCTTCCATTCAAAGAATCACTAAGTCATCAGCCATCTGATACCAATCTCTCTTCCACCCCTTGCAAAGATAAGAAGTCTAAGGTTCAGAGAGGTCCACTTACTTTTCTAGGATCGTATGTCTCACTAGCAGCAGCCCTAGGACTAGAATCAATTTATTGGTCTTTGTACCTCTCAAAGTGGAGAGACCCAGAAGCTATGTCAGTACTTCCAAGACGTCCATCAAACTCTCTTTACTCTTTTGGTGATACAGGAGTAAATGTCCCCCCAAAAGATGTCACAGCCACTTATAAACTGAGAGGCTAGACCGGTGGTTCTCAACCTTCCTAATACCGCAACCCTATAATACAGTTCCTGTGGGTCGCAACCCACAGGTTGAGAACTGCTGGAGTAGACTAATACCTCCCTGCAAAGCCAGCAAGGACGCCTCACGTGTTACAACAAAGCACCCTGCAGGCATTGTTTTGAATTGTGCACTGGACGACAAAGCCCAGGACAAACAGCTAGAAATGTGACCAGGACAATACTTTCCCCAACCCAATTCTAAATCTCCATTATCATGCTAGGGATACGGATTTTTTAATAGTTTTAAGAGAAAAATAATAATAATTCAACTAGTCCTGATGAAAGGCTGGGGTATGGGGACAATTTCTGGCTAGGATACACTGGCACAGCCATTTTCCCTTAATCTTTACTATTGGCTTCTTCCACCCCATCTGAGGTGGGAGACCCTGGACTTTTGTCCCATGTCCATTACTTCCTGGAAAGTCCCTGAAGACCTGTGACCCAACACTGCCATGTCAACCTGTACTTCAAAAAATAAATGTCACATACTCTTGTTACTTAAAGGGTGGGTCATGGACCAGCAGCATCAATGTCACTCTCAAGCTTGCAAGAAACACAGACTCTCAAGCACCAACCCAGATCTACCGAATTGGAATCCTCATTTAAACAAGATGTCCAAGAGATTCATGTGCGTGTAAAAAGTTAGAGAAGCACTGTCAAGTATCATTGGAAAATAGCTGTAACAAGTAGTGATAACAATAACTATGCCTTACTTGTACAGTATTGGAGCTTTCAAAGCCACTCTATGCACATATGACTTCACAGTCAGGGAAACAACTGCAATTCTCATTTTGATAAATGAGAAAATCAAGAAGTTGTGTGGACATCTGAGGCTCCCACCCACCAGATGAGAAGTTCAGGACAAGAAACCAGCACTAGGGCTAGCACAATGCCAGGGCAATGATAATGAGGGGTTTCCAGAAATAGGGTGCTCCTGGCACTCCCCAGGGATAACGAGCTGCACACACTTTAGCAAGGGTGAAATTGCAATGCGCACCTACCTGCTTAAATGTCAGGCTCTGTATGCTCCTCTCCCCACCCCGCCCAGGGTACCCCCGTATTGGAGAACTGCTCACTTTTTAAGAGGGTCAGGAAAGCCCGTGTGAATCCCCGGGCGTAGGCTACCTCCGGCTCCGAGGCACCCTCTAGGTGAAGTAGGTGCTGCTCAGAGGGGGCACTGGCCACATAGGCCAGCTCCCCCAGCTCACTGGACCCCACACCGGGGCCCATGGCCAGCATAAACAGGGTGACGCCCTTGCACTTGGCATCCAGGGACAGGGTCCATAGCTTCTCTCTGTCCCAGCTGCTTGTCTCACTGGCCACGATGGCAAAGAGAACCCGTGCCTTCCGCGGCAGTGGGGCTGCCAGGAGCACCTTCTCCAGCGTCCACTCCAGGGCGTGGCCCAGGGCAGGGGCTCCCTGGAGGGGGTGGCCTGCTGCCTCGCGGACATGTCTCTGCATCTGCACCCGGTGACCATAAGAGGTCAAGTGGAAGCCCTGGCGCACTGGTGGGCGACCCACACCAGGCCAGAAGCCTGGCGTCGTGTGCGTCACCAGGGCCACTCGTGCTCCTTGGTGTGATGTTCCCGGCTGCGCAGCCACCTCCAGGTCGCCTAACACAGCGTCCACTAGACTCAAAGCTCCAAGGTACACGTCGGTGCTCACGCCATGGGAGCTGTCCACCACGAACGCCAAGTCCACGTCCAGCGCCTGGGGCCCCGGCACATCCCGCCGGCATTCTGGAGCTGGCCGGCACTTGTCTGGGAAGGAAACACGAGGCAAGATTTTGGTTACACTATGCATCTCTTTCTTTTCCTTACAAAACCTAGTTCCAAACCCTCAATAAGTCTGCTGCTATTGGCCACCTACTGCGTTACCATAGCAAGCGTTAAGGCCCTGTACTCGAGTCCATTGTTAAGAAGAAAGGACTGAGACTGAAGGCACATTTAATGTTTTTAACTACTAGGACTTGCCAGGAAGTATGGCTTCCCATTGTCTGACTTTCCCCTACAGGAAACGAATTATGGATGAGTTGCTTACGGTCGTGAACAACAATGTTTGGGAAACCACATAAAAACATTGATTGCTAAGAGGTGGGAATGAACTTGACAATTGTAGGAAATTGCCATTTTTAGGTGAAGAAAATCAAATATTGCAGTTATTTTTATTTTTTTAATTATATGGGTACGTAATGTTGTATATCCTTATAAGGTATATACAATGTTTTAATACAGGTATACAATGTGAATTAATCAAATCAGGGTAATCAGAGTATCCATCACCTCAAGCAGTTATCATTACATTGTGTTAGGAACATTCCAATTCCACTCTTTTAGTTATTTCAAAGTATACCCTAACTTATTGTTGATTATGGTCACTTTGTTGTGCTATCAAATATTGTTCATTCTATCGAACTATCTAACTATATTTTTGTATCATTAACCACTCCCCTTACCACTTTTAACCATCATTTACAATCGCATCAGCAGTGTATGAATGCTCTCATTTCTCTAAGTTCTTGCCAGTATTCATTATTGCCTGTCTTTTTGATAAAAACCATTTTAACTTGGGTAAGTCAATACCTCATTATAGTTCTAATCTGTATTTATCTGAATATTGATGCTGAGAATTTCTTTCATATACTTGTTTGCCATTTGCATGTCTCCTTTTGAGAAATGTCTATTTATACCTTTTGTCCATTTTGAATTTGATTTTTTCCTATTGAGCCATTGGAGTTCCTTATATATTCTAGTTATTAATCCCTTGTCAGACAAGGAAGTTGACAAATATTTTCTCACATCCTGTGTGTTGTCTCTTCCTTTTCTTGTTCTTTTGCTGTGCTGAAGCTTGATGTGATCCAATTTGTCCAGTTTTGCTTTGATTGCCTGTGTTTTGGGATTATTATTCAAGAAGTCCTTGCCCAGACCAATGTCCTGAAGAATTTTGCCCATGTTTTCTTTTAGCAGTTTCATATTTTCAAATCTGACATTTAAGTCTTTAACCCATTTTTATTTGATTTTTGTATATGGTGAGAGACAGGGTCTCATTTCATTCTTCTGCATATGGATATTCAGTTTTCTGAGCACCATTTATTTCCCCAATGTATGTTCTTGGCACTTTTGTCAAAGATAAGTTCACTATAGATGTGTGGATTTCTGGATTCTCTATTCTGTTCCATTGGTCTCTGTGCCCATTTTTTTCCCCAGTACCATGCTGTTTTGGTTACTATAGCTCTGTAGTATACTTTGAAGTCAAGTAATGTGATTCTTCCAGTTTAAGGGGTTTTTGTTTTGTTTTGTTTTGTTTTTGTTTTCTTCTTAGGATAGCTTTGGATATTCTGGGTCTTGTGATTGCATATAAATTTTAGGATTTTTTTTGTTTCTGTGAAAAATGTCATTGGCATTTTGGTGGAGATCACATTGAATCTGTAGATTGCTTTGGAGTATGGACATTTTAATAATATTGATGCTTCCAATCCATGATCATGATATATCATCCATTGTTTTGTGTCCTCTTCAACTATTCATCATGTTTTATGTTTTCATTATAGAGTTCTTTCACTTCTGCAGTCAAGTTTATTCCTATGAATTTGTACCTATTGTAAACAAGATTACTTTCTTGGTTTCATTTTCAGATTGTTTAGGTTAACATAATAGAAATTCTACAGATTTTTGTAAGTTGATTTTGTATCCTGTGACTTTGTTGAAATTGGTCATCCCTTCTCATAATTTTTTGTGGGAATCTTCAGTTTTCTCTAGATATCATCAGATCATCTGCAAACATGGATAATTTTAATTTTTCCTTTTATTTTGGATATGCTTTATTTCATTCTCTTGTCTTTTTGCTCTAGCTAGAATGTCCAGTACTATGTTGAATAACAGTGGTTTGTCAAAGTGGGCATCCTTGTCTTATTCCAAATCTTACAGAAAAGACTTCCAGGTTTTCCTTATTCAGTATGATAGTAGCTGCAGATATGACATATATGGTTTATATTGTGTTGAGGAATGTTCCTTCTACACCCACTCTTTTCAGAGCTTTTATCATGAAGCCATGTTGAATTTTATTAAATGCTTTTTCTGCATCAATTGAAATGATTATATGGCTTTTATCCTTTGTTCTGTTGATATGTATAACATTAATTGATTGCCTATGTTGAAGCATCCTTGCATCCCAAGGATGAATCCCACTTAATCATGATGGATAATCTTTTCAATGTGTTGTTGAATTTAGTTTGCTAGTATTTTGTTGAGGACTTCTGCATTTATGTTCATCAGCAATATTGGCCTATAAGTGTGTGTGTGTGTGTGTGTGTGTGTGTGTGTGTCTTTGGCTTTCATATCAGGGTGGTACAGTCTCCAAAAATGAGTTCGGTAGTATTCTTTCCTCCTCAACTTTTTGGAATAATTTAAATAGTACAAGTTCTTCTTTGCTTGGTAGAATTTAGCAATGAAGCCACGGGGGCCTGGGCTTTTCTTTGATAGGAGACTTCATTGTTCCTTCTATCTCATTACTTATTGGACTATTCAGGGGTTTTTTTTAATATTCAGGTTTTTTATTTCTTCCTGGTTCAATCTTGGTCGGTTGCATGTGTCTAGAAATTTATCTATTTCTTCTAAGTTTTCCAAGTTATTGGCATAGAGTTGCACAATAATCCTTTGGATTTCTGCAGTATCAGTTATAATGTCTCCATTTTCATCTCTGGTTTTATATATTTGGGATTTCTCTCTTTTTTCTTAGTTAGCCTGGCTAAAGGTTTGTCAATTTTGTTTGTGTTTTCAAAAGAAAAAACTTTTTGTTTCCTTAATCTTTTCTAATTTTTGTTTGTTTTAATTTCTTTTATTTCTGCTCTGATCTTTATTATTTACTTTCTTCTACTAATTTTGGGGGGGGGTTGGTCTTTGTTTCTAGTTCTTTGAGATGCATAATTAGCTTGTTTGTTTGAAGCTTTTCTACTTTTTTTTGATGTAAGCACTTATTGCTATAAACTTTCCTTTTACTACTGCTTTTGCTGTATACCATAGGTTTTGATATTTTGTGTTTTCATTTTCATTTGTTTACAAAAATTTTCTTGCTTTCCTTAGAACCTCTTCTTTATCCATTACTTTTGGGAGATTGGCTATTAAATCCCTTTTGGGGGTTAAATCTGCTTGGTGTTCTATGACTTTCTTGTACCAAAAAATACATACATTGTTGGTGGGACTGCAAACTAGTACAGCCTTTTTGGAAAGAAGTATGGAGGATCCTCAAAGACCTAACAATAGATCTTCCATTTGATCCTACAATCCCATTACTAGGTATCTACCCAGAAGAAAAAAATCATTTACCATAGAGACATTTGCTCTTGAATAGTTATAGCAGCTCAATTCACAATTGAATGGAAAATAAACTGTTGTGTATGTATATCATGGAATACTATTCAGCCATAAAGAAAAGAGACTTTGTATTTTTTGTATTTACCTGGAAGGATTTGGAGAACATCTTCCTAGGTAAAGTATGACAAGAATGGAAAAGCAAACATCTAATGTACTCAATATTAATATGAAACTAGTAGATGAATAACTACATGCCCACATGAGAGAAAAATATTTAAATTCAAGAAGGAGTGGTACCTATTGGGTACAAGGTGAAAGGCTCAACTGCAACTTGGACTTAACCTAAAAAAAGAAAACAATATAACCTAATTGAATGTACCCTTATATTTATCTGAAATTTAAAAAAAAATCTTTCAGCTGAGTGTGGTGGTTCATGCCTGTAATCCTAGCATTCTAGGAGGCTGAGATAGGAGGATCACTTGAGCTCAGAAGTTCAAGACCAGCCTGAGTGAGAGTGAGACCCTGTCTCAACTAAAAAAAAATAGAAAAATTAACTAGACCCTGTGGTGGGCACCTATAGTCCCAGCTAATTGGGAGGCAGAGGCAAGAGAATCACTTAAGCCCAGGAGTTTGTGGTTACAATGGACTAGGCTGAATGGCACTCTAGCCTATAGAACAGAATAAGACTACTCTGTCTCAAAAAAAAAAATAAAAATCTTTCTCTAGATTTGTAAAGTTCCCTGTTGTTATTTATTTAAATAAACTATCTACCCCAATCTCTCTATCCACCTCTTCTTTAAGGCAAATAACTTAGATTTGCCCTTTCGAGACTAAATTCTAGAAATTACAGGCATGGCTTATTTTTTTTTCTTTTTTCTTTTTTCTCTTCTATGTATTTTCAAATAACCTGACTTCAAGCTCAGTAATTCTCACTTCTGCTTGGTCAATTCTGCTGTTCAGCAAATGTGATGATGCATTTGTAAGTTTGTAAAATGAATTCTTAAGCTCCAAAAATTCTCTTTGATTTTTTTCGTTATTTCAATCTCTTAGTTAAATTTCTCTGATAAGCATCTGAATTTCTTCTCTTTCTTATCCTGAAGTTCATTGAGCTTCCTCAATGAATTTTGAATTCTTTCCATCACTCCAGGATGAAGCTGGTATACAAGTTGCAAAACAAAGTCCTCTGAACTCTTTCTTTCACCAAGTGGAAGAAGACTTCCTGAGTCACACTGGCATCATTGGGGCAAATACTGACAGAGGCACTGGCTTGGCTGCAACAACTGGTGTCTCACTGGGCCATGTGCACCCCAAGTCCACTAGCCCTGAACCAGCACAGCCATAGGAATTGCCCAAGGACTGCAACATTTGTGGCCTTATGAATTCAGCCCAGGTTCCAGGCTACTTTTTGTCATCTGGTCAGGGAGCTAGGTAGAGGGTGGAGGATTTCCCTCTGGACAGGCTAAGCTACATGCTCCCTCCATGGGCATGTAGAATTCTGCCTTCTGCAGTGTTCCCCTCGGCCAGGGAAGCCCTGAGTTTCAATGCAAAGCACAATCATATCACTCTTCCTCCCCTCAGCACAGAGATTATCTCTCCTCTCTGTATGCTGGTAAAGCACTTGTCTGGGGCAGGGGAGAGTGGCACAGGCAATGCAGGACTATCTTTTTTGGTCTTCCCCAGTTCCTCTTTCCTTTATATAATATTAATACCAAGTAGTATGATCAGTCACCTGATTTTTGGTTCTTCTGAAGGTGCTTGTGTGGATAGTTCTTGAATTGGTGTTTATGTGGAGGGATAATCATTGGAGGTTTCTATTTAGCCATATTCCTCCACCCTCTCCCAAATACTGGCAGTTTTAAATGGAACCTAATAATACAGTCTGAGATTTCTCAAACTAGTTCAACACCAGAATGACACGCAGAATTATTTTTATGTATGTTCTCTGGCTCTATCCACACAAAGGCTCCAGTTTGGTAGGGTTGGGATGGAACTCAGAATCTGTAATTGAAATCAGGCATTCTGATGAAATGACATTAGTGACCCACCTCTGAGGTAAACCCTTTTATTTAGAACTGGTGGGAGCAGATGTTCTTATCTTAGAAACCACAGTCCCCAAGGGTCTATGAACTAGGATAGGAAAAGAAATTACATCTTTATTTTCACTATTTCTATTGAAATGAAATTTAAATTATGTCTTAAGACAACAAACCACTATGATACTAGTGATTCAAACATCAACAATAGTCACTGATTTCCATATCATATGACAGTTGTTGCAAATAGCTGAATATTATTTGCTATCATTACTACTTTGAATTTAATTTCTGCTAGATCTTGTCATTGCTCAGTAAGATCCATAATACATGGATTCTAAAATGTGGTATACGCAATGGAATACTATTCAACCTTTTAAAAGCAGGAAGCTCTGTCATTTGCAACAATGTGGATGAACTTAGAGGACATTATGCTAAGTGAAATAAGCTTGGCATGGAAAGACAAATACTACATGGTCTCACTTACATGGAAAATGTAAAAAAATCAGACTCATAGAGTGGTGGTTGCCAGAGGCTGGGTGGGGACAGAGAAGCAGACAGGGAAAGGAGATACATTGGTCGAAGGGTACAAAGTTTAAGGGGAATAAGTTACAGTTGTCTGTTATGTAGCATGGTGACTATAATTTAAAATAATGTATTTTATATTTCAAAAGAGCTAAAAAAGTAGATACTACATGTTCTCACTTCAAAGAAATAATAAATATTTGAGGTGGTGATGTTAAGTAGTTTACATGCATCAAAACATCACATTGTACCCCACAAATATATACAATTATTTGTCAATTAAAAATAAAACTTTTTTTAAAAGGCACATATATTACTTCAGAAGACAAGCCTGTCACTTAAAGAAAAATAAATAAATAACATTTTTGAAAGCATATATTTTACTATGTCAAACAATTTTAATATTTTTGATAATATATTTTCAATTTATTCATTTTCCTCTATACATATTGGGAACCTTTATTCTTAGGATATCATAGGTTTAACCAGATGCCAAAGAAGTCTATGACACCAAGAAAGGTTTAAAACTCCTAGTAATAATTTAGTGCATTAGCACAGTACAGAGGTTGAAGTTCAGTAGCCAGACTGCCTGGTTCAGTTCACATCTATTCCTTAGTCACTGTGTGACCTTGAGTAAATTACTTAGCCTCCCCGGAGCTTCAGCTTCCTTATTTGTCAGATGGAGATAATGATGATAATAATGGTACTTGCCTTATGAGACTGTGGGATTCAAAAGAAAAGTGAGTTAATACATATGTAAGTGCTCAGAACACTGCCTGATGTGCAGTGAGAGTTTAATAAACACTAGTTAGGTTTATGTTTCTACATGAGAGAGCTAAGGCCCAGAAAGCAGGGATGTCATGAATGTGAAAGCACTTCATGAACTGTCATGTACTTTACAAATGGCAGCTACTGTGCTTGGCTTGACCAAGTTATCACAGCCATACCTCCTATGGCAGTGCTAGGTCTTAGTGAGATCAAGGGGAAGGAACAATGAAATACCCTCTTGAATTCACAACTCTGTCGTGACTGAAATGGATGTGGCTGAGAGATCTTCACATAAGAGCATGCAGGGATTTCAGCAAGAAGTTCTCTCTAGCACAGGCTAGTGTGGGGTGTGGAATAAATTGATGGAAACTGGATACCAAGAAACACCAAATAGCCAAAGTCCCACTGCTGGTCAATGGTGGGTCCGGACCTAGAACTCATGATTCTTAACTCTTAGTTCAGTGGTCTGCACATCACGCTAAGGTATTATGATGACAGGAACCACAAACTCAGCCATGCCCAGGAGCATTGCAGGACAAGAGAATGAGCAGAGCAGGCCAAGAGTAAAACAATGGGGAGGGCAGGGACTATATGTCACTAGCAGACACTTGCCCCATTAAGAGGGGTCAGGCACACTCAGCTGTGCTGACTGTGGCCACACAGGATTACAGGGTCTATGACTCCAAGGACAAGTCTGACTTCCTAAGAAAAACTGAAAATGCAGACTTGGGAAATTTCCAGATTTTAGAGCCTGCACATACCAAGTAAACACACAGCTGCAGAGCAGATCTGGCTTGTCACCACCAGTCACTTCTTCCTGAGCTGAAGGCTATCCAGGCTTACCGTGGCAGAGAGTACAGCGAACCATGTGCTCCACATCCTGTTCATACTCCATCTCCCAGATGAACAAGTGCAATCTGCTGGTCTCATCCATCTAATCCAAACACACACACAAGTTTATGATTAGCTGGATTTAATTTCAGGCTATGTTTTTCATGTTTTCTTTTATAATTCAGATGAGAAAAACATTCATTGGAGATATTAAAATAACATATAATTATATAAATATGTGTAAATAAACCAGCATTATATAGTACAATTATTTATAGTCATTTTGTTCTCTGATTCTAACCTGGCAATTGGGCTGCCAGTGATATGGGTTCATGAAGTGTGGGTCTTCAGATTCCCAACATGTATAAAACTTAGCCAGTGTCACGTTGTTTCAGAATGAGGGTAAGGAGAAGAGTGTTCAAGCATTTATAAATTCTATAAGTGAATTCTTCACAGGATGCAGGATGCAATGCAGTGGGAGCAATTAACATGAAGGGCAGACTCTTGAAAGGGAGTGGTCATTAGGTCATACAACATTGGAATGCAAAAAATTAGATTCCATGAGGGAGACCTCGCTAGAGCATTCCTCGTGTTTAGAGCTGGGACATATCACACCCAGAAGGTAAGAGTGAGAAGGAACCCAGGAAGGCTTTGTAGAGTTGTAAATTGATTTATCTCCTTCATTAGCCTTTCTAATTATGATTCACTTAATAACTGAAAATAGGCTTAAAATATGAATAATAATAAATCCAACAAGGTCCCTCTTCTTCCTAGGGAAGCAGCGGGACTGCATTTCCCAAACGCCTTTGCAGTTAGCTGATGTCACATGACTGGAGTCTAGCCAATAGGATGTAGGTAGAAGTGATATATGCAATTTCCAGTGCATGGTTGTATACTCCATTGCTCCCTCTTCTCTCATCTGCCAGACAGATATAGAGAATCCAGAAAAATATTTTCTTGCGTTGGGGTATAATAAGAGCACTACTAGAAGGAGCCCGTATCTTTAAAAAGCTGCATGCGTTTGGAGGGATCACTTCTGAGGTTTATCTTATAGGGGTACAGGCGAATCTTTCTAAGAGTAGAATGTGAACGTTTTAAAGCAATAACTGAGAAAATGACATGAAGGCTGTGTTGAGCAGTTGATGGAAGTATTTCAGATTGCATGTGAAAACCCCACACTGTACCCCAGAAGTGCATTAATGTACATAGTTACCATTCAATAAAAAAAATAAAAATAAAAAATAAAAATAATATAAATAAATAAATAAATAAATAAAAAGCTGCATGCAGTAAAACATGCCTTCCTTACACCACATATACACAAGGGCCAACATTTCCTATAATGTACGTGGAAATGTCAGAAGTTACCCTTTATTGTGTCAAGTCACTGTCACATGGGGAGGAATGGCTTCACAGTTAACCTGCCTTGACTAATACAGATTATGTGCAGCACTACCACCTCATGATGAAACCAGAAATGCTTTCAGATTGTTTCTCTCAGGATTTGAGATGAGGTTTTCAAAGAGGTAGATGTCTAAGCTTAGTCATGTCTATTCTTTTATTTACTCTCTGTTAAAGCAGACAGAGCCACACTGAGAGTCAGCTTCTCCCCCTTCATCTGTGTGGCCAGGAAAAAAGTAGGCTCTGGGTCCTCCTTTAGGTAGCAAGGGCTGAGGCTCTGAAGATGTTATGCTAGTCAAGGATTACTTTAAAAAAGAATTTTCTGTAACATATACCCATTATGCATTCTTCACTCTTTATATCTGAGACTGTATCACATCCCAAACATTGTCTTTCACAGCCAACTAAAGGTAAAGAACTATGAAGAGTAGAATGTTTATGTCACTGTAACATGCACACAAAAGAAACGAGGGAACATTCCCAAGAGAAAGGGAAAAAATATTTGAGAAGAAAGGCAAAAAGCATCTTCTCTTGTTTCTCATGTAGCAAAAGCAACCTTAAATTACACTTTTTCCTTACTTAGGAATTCAAACTAACCAATCATTCAAGACTGATTGAACAGTTAACCACATGAAAGTTTTAGTAAGCCCTGTGGAAATACAAAGATGACATGGCCACCTCTTCAAAGGGATTAAAAAATAAGTGGAAGGATAGAAAAATGATTTTGCAAATAAGGATGAACTCCAATGATATGTCTTAGGAACACAGGAAGATAAGAGTCATTTCATGGGAAAGGGGCAGAGGAGACCTGATAAAGTTTATGGTATTTGGCACTTTTGAGGGAATGAGTAGGGTATTTAACAGGAAAAGAATCAGGGAAACGCAATCCAGTGTGAAGGAACACCATGTACAAAGGCCCAGAGGTGGACAGTGCTTATCTCTGGAATTATGCTCAATGTCCTCACTGCCCACAAATTAGAGAACACCCATCTCCCACGTGCAGCCTCACAGCACATCTGAAACCCAGAACTCTGTGCCGCATGGAGAAGCTGCATGCTGAAAGAGTGCAGAGTAGCCAACGTTCAACATTCAGGTCTACCTCCATAATCATCAGATCTGAGTATTAACCAAACCTAATGGGTCTACTTAATCACCGAGGATTGAGAAAACAGTGTAGGCAGGCATATGACGCATCGCTTGCTTTACTGGAAATGACACGAGGTGATTTGGAAGTCTTCTGAAACCAAGATCCATGGCAATGTGTCAGGAGATATGAGGAGCCCAGGATAACTCTAGGAGCATCAGTTTTACCCTAACAGTTGTGGGGAAATGCTAAGTTAGTGTACCTTATTTTTAAATCACAGGAAGCATGGGTGAAGTGTGTTATGAAGTTTGGATTTTTAAAATAGCCTGAATGACATTTCAAACAAATCCAAACATTTCCCCAAGTCTGCACGAATTCATACTCCTCCAGGTTACAGATGGTTCATGGGGAAAGTTATGTGCAGCACTAGCAGATGAAGGTGTCAAAGAGCTGGATCAAGTCCTTGATCTGCTGTTGTTGTCTATGTGGCCTTCAGAAAACCTCTGGCGTCAAATTCCTCTGCAACAGTTTTGGGTGCGAGTCAATGCCACTTAGTTCTCTTCTTGTTCCAAGGCAGCCTGGTCCCAGGTTACTGTCTTCTGTTATTTGCTTCATGCTCAGGATAATGTGTCACCTCTTGTACTCTCAGAGCACATAACTCTTCTATCTGCTTGTTGGAAAACTATCAAATTCAACTTAATTTGAATACCTATAATAGAACTTGAAGTTGTTTTTTTTTTTTTAGCTTTTCTTAGGAAAAATAACTTTATGCTCATGCTTAAAATTTGTACTGTTCTTACAAAAAAAAAAAAATGTGGGAACAAGTACACAAAACCACAATGGAAATCCACAGGGAAATTATGATTCAGTATTTATTCATCTGCACGTAGCTGTTACTAATAAACAATTATGTTGACTTCGGACTTGCCAGCATGGTCCTTGGCATGGTCTTACCAAGTAGATACTTCTTGAGAAAGCTCAAGCAGAGAGATAGCATAGAAGCGAATCCCAGTGTGAGGAAAGGGAAAAACTGACTATATGATTCCTACAGCAAACTCAGCACCAGAGAAGGAAATATCAAAAGCCAAGGGCCTTAAATATTACCCAAGAGATTGAGACTGAAAGTTTGCCTATAGTTTTAATCGACAATTTGGCAATTCTCTTAACCAGCTGTATTACTAATATCCCATTGTAGTTGATGAGGACTAGTTGTGTACTAAAAACAAGAATATATTGAGGAGAGAGGATATGTCATGGGGAGGTTACATTAACATACTCTATTGATTAACAGACAGAAAGACATTTTCTCAAGAAGTACAAGGACAACCCTCAAACCTTGGCCCTCAATAGTAAAGAACTGCCCATGATCCCTGACCTGGAGTTAAATTCAAGGCATTGGCTATTTTACTAAGCTGCAGATGCCGCAGGACAATGTTCTTTCCTTGGACTGAGTTGGGGGAGGCTCTTGGCTTAGAATAGATGGGGGAAAGAGAGTGCTAGGGAGGAATATTTGCCATGGACAGAAGAACAGCTAACTGGTCCCTAAGGGGAGAGCATTAGAAACCATCTGGTATCAAGTTGAGGTAAGGGTTTGGAAAACAAGGAAGAAAACCGGGAGAAGTAGAGAGAAGAAAACAGAGGGAGAGAGTAGCCATGTGATCTGTGACTGGCCCCAGGAGCTGGAGTCCAGTTTCAGCTCCTGCCAGCTGGCATGGTCCCACCAAAGGCTTCCATGAGCAACTGACTTTTCCTGGACTCCCTAGAAAACATCAGCGGTCAGTATTAAATTGAAGGTAAGTTGCAGAGTGGGACTTGGTAACTACATATATTGGAATGCAAATTCCAGGACTGTGTAGAGTAGAACAACACTTCCCCTCCGACCTTCACTTACCTCATCTGGGAAATGTAGGTTACAGTTATTAACGTGTAGGATACCTGCGAGGCTTAAGATCACTCCTGCTGGGAGGGCACCATCCCAGTGCCCTTCTATGAAGACTGCTAAGATTCGCTCTTTTACTAAGACTGTTTCTCTCCCTCAAAGACTATTTCTCTCTCTCTCCCTTCTGCGAATAGCCCTCAGGCACCTAAGGGGAGCTGTTCCCGAGCAAGGTAGCACAGTGGTCCGCATCTGGACAATAGATAAGCTGAGGCTGGAGACCTGGCCAGTCCTGGGCCCCAAGAGCTTGTAGCATGGGAGCTGAGACTTCATAAGCACTCGCTAAATGGAAAATACCAGATTTCATTAATAGTTATGAGAGAAAGAGCATTCCTAAGGACCTGGAGAGGATGGTAATATAATGACCTACATTAAGTAATACACATAGAAAGTATTGGACATCCCTGTTTATCCCCCAAAGTGAGTTTATCCCCACCTTGAAGCCTTGGTGTCAAAATAGCATGCCCAAATTACATATGGTACAGCATTTGAGGCCTCACTGCCTAATTCCTTGGTGGCTGGTCCTGGCCTTACCGCATTAATAATCTAATGCAGAACACAGCAGCCACAGACCTCAGTGGCAGGCCATTGCTGGCTGCCTACATCACACCACACTGGCTTTCTTCAAAAAAGAGTATCCTCAACTTGTGTTAGATACGCTGATTATTCCAATGTGATAGTTACACAGCACATACATGTATCAAAATATCATTTTGTACCCCATAAATATAGGCAACTATTGTTTGTCAATTAAAAATAAAATAAAACTAAAAACAAATTTATTTTGATTGCCCCCCAAAATAAGAAAGAATATCCTACTGCAACTTTTTTGAATTCTGAAATTACACTAAAATTAAAAATTACCCGAAACTTTCTTTGGCCTTCCTCTTAATGTTTTCATCTTTTAAGTGTGATTTTTTTCTTTTTCCTGATACTCAGCATTCTATGCCTTGGAATGTTTTTAAGAGCAATACATAGGAATAAAAATAGAGTCAGTTGATAGACAGAACTCACTGTTACTCTAAAGGTAAAATGCATAAATACAGGAAAAGAACTTGGAGTTTTAATGTCTCTTCCTGTTTTTCACTTTTGAACTCAGAATCCCATGGCTAATGGGAATTCCAAACTTGGAGCAAATTATTCAGCTTCTCTGTGTCTCAGTTTCATCATCTGAAAAGTTAGTTCATGACATTATTTATCTCAATGGGTTATTGTAGGGATTAAACAAATCAACAAGATATTAGAACAGTGCCTGGATCAACAAACGTGAGCTAATTTTCTTAGGCTTTCTTTCAAGGGAATGTGTGCTAGAGGAGAAAAGTAAAATTTGAAACCTGGCCCACAAATTGCATTTTCTCTGTAATTCTCTGCTTTTTCAATTTAAAAATGAATCTAATGAAGTCATGTTTTGAGACATAAGGCAATTAAACAGTTCTTATCAATGGGATGAAGCACAGATAGTCCAAACACAGTATCGTAGTTTTATTTAAGGCTGTGACAACTCAACGGATGGTTTTTAAAAAATCTTCTCAGTATGCATCGCAGCCTCTGAGCATGTTTAAATGGACTGAGAAGTTAGGACATCTGTTTATATCATCATTTCCAATTGAACAACCATCATTTCCCCAGGAGAAGCATGTGAGTGTCATTCTGAAAAATTAAAGTATCACAGAGGTGAAAGACAAAAGCTCCACACATAATCAAAGAGAATCTTCAGGCCCAGCATTCAGAAGAAAACTCACAGGCTATTTCCACGCTCCTAACTGAATCCCCCTAAGGCTAACAGAGAGGGGAAGGTTAAGGGCTGCAATATGCCCAATTGTGAAGAAATGAGGATTTTCTGAAAAGCCCTGAGAATGCTGTCATTATTCTGACTGTTTCTCTCCCTACTAATGTCACCAGAAATGAGGTCATTCATTATATCAGAGCTGGCAGGCACCATTTAACATCCTTTCTAAGCCATTAAATGTAAACAACAGAGTTGTCTCCCAGCATCCTGCAGCAAAACCATGTCGAAAAAAAAAAAATAAATAAATGAAAAGGAGAGCAGACAGAAATGACAAAACTGAGTTCAAGTACATTCAAACCAGCACGTTCTCACATCCCATTATAGGGAACCTAACGCAATTAGCAGGGCAAGAACATCATGACAAAGGATCACCTATAGATTCGAATACTGTCAAATACAGAGGCTCCCTAGGATCCTCTCTCAGAGAGCAGCACTAGTGATCACTTGAGGAGAGATAATCGCACCCCTGAGATATAGATGACTTAATTGCACCCAGATGGGAGCCTAGCTAACAGTTGCAACCGTCTCTCCATTTTCCAGCTGAGCAAAGTAAGACCCATGAAGAAACTTGTCCAAAGGCACCTCCTTATTGATGGAAGAGCCAAAGACCAAAGCCACATTTTTAATTTAAATTATTATACCTTGCCTTTATTAATCCATTCAAGAAGTAATTTAGAATGCCCCCCTACCAAGCCAGCCCCCCGCACCCCCACCACCCCCCCATCCAGGCATCCTGCTAAGCAAGAGGGATGTAATAGGGAACAAGGACTCATCCTCCTCTGTATTCTAACTTTGTTTCTCAGCCTAAAAGACTTGGTCCGTCCTTCCCAACAGTTTGCAAGCTGTCACAGCTTTATCTATTGATTCTTAGAAACATAGTCACAGCTGTGTCAACAAAATCTCTCACGTATCACTTCTGCTAACACTCAACCTTCGGAGAAAATTAAGTGGTCTGCCACAGCTGAATTCATCAGCTATTAAGTTGAATCTTATGACATTTGTATATTTGCAGGTCAGCAATGGTTAAGTATCGGCAATGTCCCACGGTTCAACCTAATATTCATAAGCATCCTAGAAAATTTTAAGGGAGCCACCCTTCATTTTGATAAATCATCCCAGATATTCCACAAAAACGTGTTGCATGGGTTCCAATTAGAAAAGCAAAGTCTGGAGAATAAATGAATAAATTGCAGCATGCTACGAATATCTGTGGTGGAACACTCCAGAGGAATAAGAAAGAACAAATTAACCATGTACACAAAGTGGATGAACAAGGAGAACAGACATTATGTTGACTGGAAGAAGCCAGGTACAAGTAAGTACACGCTGTATGACTCAGTTTATATGGAGGTTCAGAAGAGGCCAAAACTATTTGATCGTGATAAAAGCAGATGAGCAGTTGTCCTGACACTGAACATGTTCAGTGTCACATCTTGGTCACATGGATTTCAAATATATAAAAATTCATCTATCCATACACTTAAAATAACTATACCTTTTCCACTTTGTTATATGGGTATGTATACTATATCCCAGTGCAAAAAAAAAGAGGAATAAAATTATAGTCTGTGACTCCCAAGGACACAGTTTAGCTAGCAGTTAAGCACAGGCTCTAAAGGCAGACAATATCAGTCTGGCGCCAACTGGCTGCTTGACCTTTGATGATTATACTTAATCTCCTCTAAGCCTTGCTTTTCTTATGCCCAAAATGTACATAAACAATAACACCTGCCTTATGCAGTTTTGGGAATCATAAATAAGGCAATGTTTACAAGGCATGTGTCACATGTGTTAAGAATAGCCACTCAGTATGAGGAGTCATCTCATTAGCAGTAGGGTCTACACTGGGCCCCTCACACCTTGCATACACATCAGTTTGGGGGGAATTCCTCCTCTGAATGGCTCTTGCCCTTTCTGTGGTCCTTGTTGGAGAGGTAAAAACCAGCTGTAACGCCCTCCCCATGCTCCCCTGCCCACCAGTGGATCCTTTGGCATACCAGCAGGACATCTGGGAGGTTGTGCTCCTTTGTGAAGGTGATGACCACAGGGATGATGCCCACTGCCCCAAGCTCCAGGGTAGCTGTGCTGATGGAAGCTGCATCATAGGCTGAGCCTGCCTGGAAGAACACAGCCACCTTCCTCATGAGAAGGCCCGAGCGCACACGTTTAAACACATGTCTCGCCATAAACCTCATCGTGGCCCCCAGATTCCTATGGCCAGATGACCGTTCCAGAGGGATCTTCCTGACAGCCTCCAGGAGTGCACGCTTCCCCATGTAGTCTGAGAAACGAACCAGGTAGTCTGTTTTGGTGTTGTAGGAAACAATGGCCACTCGGGCACCTGTTGGGCAGTTACTCTCACTTATTTCCATCTTCATCAACAGAGATAATAAAATGTCTCTCATCCTCTCAAAATCTAACTGGGAGACGTTATTTGACATGTCCAAGGCAAAGCCCACTTCAGTCGGGAACGCTGGACATTTGGAAACACCTTGATACAATGAATACACATATTTAAGATTTCCTGTAACTCCTCTGAACAGATGAGGATTTAAGTGACTAAAAAGGAATATAATTTACCTTTTGAACAAGCTAGAAGGAGAATTATTTTGGAAAGAAAAGAAAACATTGTTAGTTTGACGTATGCAGTAGCATCTTTCCACAGGCATGCCCCAGTATGAAAAACCATCCACTTGGAGAAATTTAAGCATAGCCTTCTCAAATTCCTACCTGAGTGTGGCAGAGTTCTCTACTTGTTCCCCAATATCCCTTCCCTCTTGGGGCGGCACCTATGGCCCAAAAGGGTAGGGTGCCAATCCCATATGCCGGAGGTGGCGGGTTCAAACCCAGCCATAGCCAAAAGCAAACAAACCAATATCCCTTCCCTCTTTTTCTATAGTAATAGGACCCCATGCTCTGCCTAGGCACATGGCTGCCTGGAACAAACATTACATTTCCCAATGGAGTAGCCATTTTGCTAAGTTCTGGATAACAGAACAAGAAAAATGGAAGGGGCAACTTCAGAAATGTATCAATCTCCTGCTGGCTGAATGTTGGTATGATGGCTGAAGCTTCATAAAGTTCTTAGATCATGAGGTGATTTGGAGAATAGCGCACACCTCACAAACACAATGGCTGAACAAGAAAATAAAGAGATCATATCCCCAAACACCAAGGGCCCCATTTCAACCTGACTACTTCCAAGCTTTGATTTGAGAAATACTTTTAGGCCATCGTTATTGAGGATTTAGGTCACATTCAACTAAACTTAAATTTAACTAATACATTGAGTTATTTTGAAATTACATGATCAATATTACACGTATGTAATGAGTATACACATGTACATAAAAATATATTTTAATTATAAACTATACATACTATGTCCAAGTGTATGTACACAAGTAATATATTTTGTAGGAAATATTAGAAAAATAAAAAATTAAAATTGTCTTTGATTTATCATATATATAGATATGTAGATAGATTTACTTTATTTTATAACACTTGGAGCTTAGGATATGTTATATTCTTAATTTTTTCACTTACACATGATGATTTTCTGCCATCGATAAATTTAGGGCAATATGATCTACTCTATAAGATTTCTTGGCTCGGCGCCTGTGGCTCAAGCGGCTAAGGCGCCAGCCACATACACCTAAGGTGGCAGGTTCGAATCCCCAGCCCGGGCCCGTCAAACAACAATGACGGCTGCAACCAAAAAATAGCCAGGCGTTGTGGCGGGCGCCTGTAGTCCCAGCTACTTGGGAGACTGAGGCAGGAGACTCGCTTGAGCCCAGGAGTTGGAGGTTGCTGTGAGCGTTATCACCATGGCACTTTACCCGGAGTGACATAGTGAAACTTTGTCTCAAAAAAAAAAAAAAAAAAAAGATTTCTTCAACCAATGTCCCTTTGTGATGAACATACTTGTACATGTATCTGTTCATATTTACCTAATTATAGCCCTAAATAAATTTCTGTAATTATGGACATTGATATACATAGTCCAATGGCTCTTCAGAAAACTATACCAGTTTCCACTCCCACCAGCAGGGTGCACTCTTACATATTTCCCAATTTGGTAGGAATTTCTGTCATTTTGGAAATGTTTTCAATGTGAAAAACAAAAAGAGTATCTCATTATTTTAATTTGTATTCTTGACTTCTTGTAAGATGGAACATTTTCATGGGTTTATTATTCATTTCTATTTTTTTCTTTTATGAATCCCTGATTCATGTCTTTTGCTAATTTTCAATTTAAAAGATTTGCCTCTTATATTTAGATACAACTATTAAGAAATATCTGTCTTGGTAGGTAAAAATGATCGAGTGGCAGCAATTCTTTCTGTTTTCACATTATTTAGCAAGGAAGTTAAGTCCTTCACTCAAGTCCATTGCATATGTTACAAATCATTTTTCCCTTTTTCTGTTTGCTTTTGACTTCCTGGTGCCCATTTATGTGAATGGGTTTTAACTTTTAATATGGTCAACTGGCATATGCTTTTTCTTTTTGGTGATAGTGATGGCATTATTCTTTATGATTGATAGGAGAAAAAGGATTCCAGAATCTCCCTGAAGAACCAGTGCATGGTAACAGACAGAACGTGGAAAGGTTAGGCAAATAAGGGCAGGATGATTGTAAAGAAAACCTGAACATTCAAACTAAACAATTTGCCAAATCGGCATTCTTGCCCTATTGAGAGTAAGTGGAGAAAAGTAAGTATTATAGGATGCCAATGTCCTGGAATACATTGAAAACAGTAAATAAATTCCCCCAATCCGAGAGTATGGGAGAACATTACTTAAGATTTAATGATTCATAATTCCATTTTTAAAAGATAAATGTACACTTATAATTCAGGCATGACAAAATTGATACATGTAACCAAAAACATTTGTACCCCTATGATAGTTGGAAATTTAAAGAAATGTAATAATACATGTAAATAAAATAGGTTACATTTCTTTTCAAAGGGTCACTATTGGTCCTTCTTGTTTAAATGTATGACATAAAAAGACTGAAGCTCCTATTTGTTTTGTGATAACAAGCAGCAAGATTCAGACATTCAAGTGTGCAATTATCACCATGCTTCGTGGGGCATAATATTATTCGGTGACATTTTTCTTCATTGTTCAGATGGCATGCCCTTCAACCCACTTCATTTCTGAGGTCACAGTGGGAATGCTTACTTACCTCAGAAGGGACTGAGCCCAACATAGTGATTTATAAGAGCCTTTGACAATGACAAGGCACATCCCAAACCTCAGTCACATCCTCAGGTGACTTATGCCCCCAGTCCATGATCCATCCATCCCCACTTCATACCACTCACTCCTTTTGAGCCTTTCCCAAACAACTTACGGCAGTTTTCTTGAATGAGATTAACAATTTCACAAGGCTGTTGAAAGATGGAAAAAGACAGGGAAAAGGAAAAAGTATTTAACTTGAAGCATATTTTGCTTCACCCTTGTGACTTCGAAATGTCATCTGATAGTTACCAGTGCCTATCTGAAGCTTTTTAATCTACAACAGAAAGCCCAAAACATGTTAGAGCAGATGAAACCAACCAACAATTATATTTCTGAATCCAGTGGATATTTTAAAGGATTTAAAAGATTTTATATCCAATACAGTGCCCATATTATTAAAGATCCATAGATAAGGGATACCTATTTTATCTGCTTTACAAGTAATGGAATCAAACCTGATTTTGAGGAAGCTTAAATACAGGAATGTCAGTGGAAAACACATGGAAATGTTTTAAATTCTCGAATAGCTATATTAGCAATTCTAATAACACTTCTTCAGAATGGCTCCCAAAAGAGTAATCTCAAAACCTCCCCTGGTAATTCTGCTTCTTTACTCTGATCCCTTCCTCTCTGCTCTCTACTTCCCTCGACCCCAGACCCTGTCACTCCCTGCTCCTCAGCTGCCTTCACACCCCCAGCCTCCTGTCTAAGAGTATTTTTGTACTTGGGAGATGAAAAGTCATCATTTCAGGTATGCCAGGAGACACAAAAACCTGTACTATCCATGTGTTGGTTTAGAAATCCTTTTTAAGTAATTTTTGAGCTTTACAAAAAGGGACATTACAGAAAGTTAATAGCCTCTGAGTCTTTTTCTCTTTATCATGTCAACTGGTTTTACTCAGAAACCTCCAGATTCCCTGCTGGATTAAAAATGTTGAAGTATTTTTATTTGAATCGGTTATAACATTTCAAAGTAAAGTTGATAAATTTAAAGTACTAACAGAATTTGTAAGAGTAGAAACTAAAGAATCTCTACAACTAGCAGATTTCTATTTTGTGAAAGCTGAAAGCTCTATGTTCTGAAAATAATAAAGCTTAGAATTAAAATCTTCACCTACCGTCATATCTACCAAACCTTTGGGACCCTTGATGCCCTGGAAAGAACAGAAACTTGGGTTTAAAATGCAAGATTCTGAAGTCCAACATATTCTTCTGCAGAGTGGCCAAGGCATCTGTGACATTTCCTCACACTACATGGAACACCTTCTGCCCTTCGCTCCTTGCCCTGGAGTTCTGTCTGACCCCTTAAAGAAAAAGGCTAGAGTGACTAACAGGTATGTCGGGGTCCAGGAGGCCTAGACAGATGATACATAAAGACTCTTAGATGGCAGGGCACATGGCTCATGCCTATAATCCTAGCACTCTGAGAGGCCAAGGTGGGTAGATTATTTGAGCTCAGAAGTTCAAGGCCAGCCTGAGCAACAGAAAGACCCCCATCTCTAAAAATAGCCAGGTGCTGTGACAAGTGCCTGTAGTCTAGATACTTGGGAGGCTGGGGCAAGAGGATCACTTAAGACCAAGAGCAGTTTGAGGTTGCTGTGAGCTATGATGCCATGCACTTTACCAAGGGTGACAAAGTGAAACTCTGTCTCAAAAAAAAAAAAAAAAAGACTCTTAGATGACCAGGTCATCTTGAAACCAAGCCATAGTTTAGGATCAAATTCAAGAAAAGGAGAGGCCATGCAAGATGCCAGGATCATTCACAGATAGTTTTAAAGTAGATTCCAGTTGTTCATCTATGCTTTCTTTTTGGACCACACTGCACCACCCTGTTTCTGCTCACATATTGAGTAAGTCTTCCTGAGAATCCTTCAGGTTAGAGTTCATGGCTCCAACCACTCTGGGAACCTAGCGATCATTGCTCTTGTTTAGAGTCTACAAGGTAGTAATTTGTGACTTCAGGCAGGTAACTACAATCCTCTCAGCCTTTGTTTCCTTGTCTGTAAGATGGCATGAATGATCCATTTACCTCTCAGATTTTTGATTCTCTGACATTGTTGCATCTCTCCAATAAACCCTACACTGCAGTAATACTACCAGATTGAAGCTGCAGCTGACCTACTGTGCCATCCTCATGGAAGGACACAGCCTAGCCTCCTAGGACAAGACACAGGGCAGAGCAAGCATAGCTTCAAAGTCTTTCCTTTAATACCAAATAAACTTTCAGGGAAGTTTTAAAATATTTGTGGGCTTACAACACTATTAGTTTAGTTAAGATTATATAAATGTTATATTTTGTTGGGCTTTCCTTCTGATTTTTGCATAAATGTTGTTGCTTCTTTTGTTTGCATTAATTATACTCACTCTCCTGTGAGTTTTATGTATTATTTTATGTAGTTAGAGAGATTTATATATCTCTAATCAGTTCAATATCTTCCCCATGTTCTAATGAAAAATATATGTTAGGTAAATACATTGTCAAAAGCCTTGAAGCCAATGTCCTCTAAAGCAAATTTGGCCCATTCCCTATATAGATCCTCTTGTGTGTCCAAAATGCCTGTTTCGTCTTTAGATATGACTCTTATCAAACTCTAATTCATTTTTACACAAAGGTTAAAATTGGAAAGGGGAAGGGTACATGTTACCATTTTTCCTGGTGGGCCTTGGTCACCTGGAATTCCAACAAATCCAGGAAAGCCAGAATTACCCTAAAAACAACCAAACCAAAAGAATAAGTCCCCCCCATAATTATGACTTGATACTTAATTATAACCATCAGACACAGTTTAGGATATCAAGTTTTCACTATAGCTAGGGCCAGTGGGTCTGCTTTTGACCAGTTAGTTTGTGTTTCGGTGGGATGAGACATGGAAATGAGAAAGAGATGTGGATCTCTTTATGGGAAAGCCAAACTTCCCCCTACATACCCAAGTCCAGACATGCAAATATGTGCATACACATGAAAACTCATACTTCTAGATAGAGCTTCAAACAATGACTCAATGCTCAGTTGAGTCTCAAGGTCATATAATAAAAACAATGTGAGAAGTCAGCATTGAATGCAAGATAAAGAAAAAATTCCCCCACCACCTTCTGGTCCCTAGTGTCTCAGAAAAGTTGTATGATGGCCATAGGCTCACTGCTTATATTCCAGGTATTTGAAATTGATACAGAATTATCTGCATATAATTAAAGTTTTATCTTTTTTATTTGAAAGAAGAAGGAAAATGCTAGTTGACCATGGTAACCACAGCCAGCAGCAAGCAAAGTTAGGCATAGATCTTTTTTTTTTTTTTACATCCTTGCCAATGTATGAAAATATTGATTCTTTAGTACCTGGAAAATGCACAGCCCTTTTCCTTTTCTCTTTCCTGAAGTGCAAACTAGTCTATGTCTTTTTTTCTAGAAGGCTTTGGCCTCTGAGGTCTATCAGCTAAATACTACCAAAATGTTAGATAGCCAGAGTTACTCTTTCCAAAAAGAGCTGCCAGTGATTGTGACTCTTCAAGACTGAATTTTCAGAACATGAAGAAATGGCTTTTTAGTGGAAAGTTCCATAATGCACAGTGGACTCAAAGTTCACCAAGATGGAGACCACATGCTTGAACATCACTCTTAAAATAGTTAAGAGAAAAATAAGGCTGGGAAGAATCCTAAAGAAACAGCAAACAGCAATATTTGCTCTATGGCTAAAACAATTGCAAACGATTTCTAGACTTACCAAAGACAGAAATGCCCCCAAACTTGTTTTTAGAAGGTTGATGTTACATAACTGAAATGCCAACTTGGATTTTTAGGTGTTATGCTTTGGTAGACTGCGTTTGTGTTCAGAAGATAAATGAGAGTGGGATTGAGGGGACAGTGAGGTAGCCCAGGGATGGTGTGGAGCATGCATTGACTGAGGAGGAATGGGCTTCCTTCCAAGAAGTCCATTAACCCAACAGGAAAATGCTCCTGTGGTGACGTAAGCTTCTACTGATCTTGGGAAGTTCATCTTGTTCTTACCCTCTTCCCTCTGATTCCCTTTGCTCCCTTCTCTCCTTGGTGGCCTGGGTCACCATCTTCTCCCTTAATATAGCAAAATCAGATCTTTGAATATAAAGAAAAATAAATTCAAACAAATGACGAAAGAGCATACCAGTTGATGGGCCCAGAAAAATATCTTCTTACTTGTGCACCAGGATAGCCAGGAAATCCGGGTTCACCCTAGTGTCAGAAATGAGATTAAGTCTTGTTTAATATAACATCATGTGAATAGATATTTCCTTAGCATTCCTTGGAGAAAAGGAAAAAAACTATAATTTTGAGGAAACAGACTCAAAACAAGTGCCAGGAAAAACAACTAGCAACAGTCGTTATCTTGAGCTACTCTCAAGTGGCCATATTTCATTCCTTTAATTCAACATGAAACAACTTGTAAATGATTTTTATAAATTTTCCTTTTCCTTTAAGTATTGTGTAATAAAACTTCCATCTTAGGCATTTTTATCTCTTGGGTTAAATACCCAAAGATTCAATACAAGGAATCTTCCTACAGGGAAGGAGGAACCACACTGGCTGTTGGGAAGCAGGTATTCAGCGTCAGAACCAAAGACATACAGCAAAGCAATCATTTATTCAGCCAACTATTTATTCAGTATCTAATGTGTGATAAGCACTTCTCTAGGCACTGGAGTGCAGTGAACAGAACAAAGAATTCCTTTGTGCTAGTGAGGAAGAGAGGGGACAAAGAAATATGTAACATGTCAGGGAAAGATAAATTCTATTTCAGAAAGGGGCTTAAGAAACAAAGAGTTACATGTGCTCAGGGCGGGGAGGTGTTATTTTATATAAGGTGGTCAGTCAAAGACTTTCTGGAGATGGCATTCCGACAAAGATCAACATTAATTAAGGAAGGAAGCCAAGCAAGTATCTGGGAGAGAAGTGTTCCAGGCAGAAGAAAGAGTATGTGAAAAAGCCCTGAGGCAAAAGAATGCATGTGTTGAACTACCATCTGGGCTATGATAAAAATAAAACTTTTAGTTAAAAAACTTTAAAATAAGGGAATGAACATGTGCTGCCATGTTTGAGGAAGACGGAAGCAGATGGGAGGGAAGGTGGTGAGCAGGAGGAAACTCAGTCAGAGAGTTCACAGAGAGGCCACATTGTGGCCAGAGACCAGGCCAACAGTGGGTTTTATTCTGAGTGACACGGAGAGCCACAGCAGGGCTCTGAAGAAAGGAACGACATGCTCTGACTATGCTGTTAAAGATGTCTTTGGCTGCTGCATGGAGAGCTAACTATCTGAGGCAAGGGAGAAGCAGAGGCCAATAAGTGGCTATTACAGGAAGACAGAAAATCATGTTGGCTTGTCCAGAGGGTGGCAGTGCGGTGGTAAGAAATGAGGAAATGGAGGATATATTTTAAAGATAGACTCACCATGATTTGTTGATGTTGATGGATTAAATAAATGTAGGGGCTGAGACAAAGCTTATCAAGAGCAGCTGCAAGTATCTGTCCTGAGCAACTGCAAGGATGGCTTCTCCACTCCCCGGGATGGGGAGAGCTGGAGGAAGGGCAGGTTGTTAAGGGAATCAGTTCTGGATGACTGGATGTATGATGATATTAAGGCATTATCATTAATTCTTAGATGTGATGATAGTATTTGCTTATGTTTTTAAAGAATCATTGAAAGATGCAACCTACAATAGCTATGCATGGAGTATATGATATATGGGATTTCCTTCAAATTAATTGGCATGGGGGTGAGGGGATAATGGAATAAGGGGAATATAAATAAAACAAAACAAAAATGGCCAAGGTTTCTTCATTGTTTGAGCTAAGTAATGGATACATGGGTGAGGCAGAGGGGTATCATTATAGTAGCCTAGCCACTTTTATTTATTTCTAGACTTTTCTATAATAAAAGGTTCACAAAATGAAAAATAAAGTTATTTGAGGCTCTCCAATTTTAAGATGCCTATTCAATGACTGCTGGGACACATTTTTGGAATTTAGGATATTGGTCCAAGCCAAAGAAATAAATTGGAGATCCCAAGATAGATGGTTCTTGGTGTCATGCCATGGAACTGGATATTCCTAAGAAATGTCACCTGAGCGGGTGAGTAAAGAGGGAGAGAAGTATGAGAACAGAGTCCTAAGTTTCCCAATATTTAAAGGTCAAGAAGATCCAGAAGATCCAGCAGAGGAGACTGAGAAAGCGCAGCCAGGGAAGCCAGGAAAGTGAACTGTACTGGAAGTTGAGTGAGGGAAGGATTAGGAACAAGCCTGTGAGCAACTTTATCAAATGCTCCTAAGAGACAGAGTATGAGGAGGGCAGGGAGATGATGACTGGATTTAACAACATGGGGTTCGCCTCAACTAAAGCAAATGTAGCTGAGTGAGGACAGCCAATGGTAAAGCCTCAGCTGGCATCAGTTTCTCGACCTCAGCACTACTGATATTTTGGACCTGATGGTTCTTTGTTGTGAGAGACTGTGCTGTGTATCATGGGGTGTTAAACAACACTCTGGTCTCTACCCAGTAGATGCCAGTAGCACCTCCTCCTCTAGTTGTGACAATTGACACAGAGGAGGAGGTGCTATTGGCATCTATTGTCGCCAGACATGCCAAGTGTCCCCTTGGGGATAAAATCACTCCTGGTTGAGAACCCCTTGTGCAGACTACTCCTTCAATCAGTTTGGCTGGAGAGAATTGGGCAGTGGGAATATGTAGTGAACTGATGGGTTTGGGGATTTTGTTTTTCTAAATATGGGAGACCTTCCCACCTCTTTGTATGGGAATAATTTACAGAGGAAAGATATGGTGCTACATGAGAGGACAGTGACTCTCTGTGA